AAGGTGCTTCTGTTACACTGGTGAAACCCAGTTGCTTCCATAGCCCCAAGACCGCTGTATGTAAGGAAGCAAGTGCCAGACAGGAGGAACAAGGCTCGCTGGACAGATATTTAGGTGAGGTTTAATTTATTTTTGGGGATTCTTTTTGTTGGTATTTGCTTCATTCAAAATAGTCAGAAATTCAAGATGAAGTGATATTACACACAAACAATAGTTTTAGGTCACTTATTTATATTTGTTCTATTAAGAGTTCTTCAGTATTGTTCTACCCTTTTATAGTCTTATTGATTTTTACTGGTTAGCCTGTCCTTTTGTCTTTTCTCATTTGGTGGGGTACTCTGCAATATCTTTGTATTTCTATTTCCCTAAACATTTGCAATTGCTGCAAAAATATATATATTATTAAGAATTATGATGCATTTATGTCAAAGTCAGAAATGTTAAACCTAAAGTTTAGACAGCAGTGTTATTTTTCTTTTTTATACTACATGATTAGTTCTTTGTGTCACTCAGTATGGTTTTAATCTGCACTGGCACTGGCACAATGTAGTACAGGACTGTCCAACTTCCAGCCCATGGGCTCCCACTCAGTCGCCGATTTCTCTCTCTTCTACCTCTTCCCCTCAACAGCTTTTCCTGCTGCTTGAAGGTCTCCAAATCCCCCCTCCCTCATCCATCGTGCTCCTGTCCCTGGAGGCAGGGTGGTGCATCTTTGTGGGGCTGGGGAGCCCCTGCGCAGAGTGGGAGTAGGGGCAGCCTGTGGCCTCTGGCTACTCAGAAGTAAGACAGCCGTGATGAAAAAGTACCTGCTTATTAGTGGTACTATTGAATATTAAAACTGAATTCATTCAGAAATATAGGTTTGTTGAAGCTAAAGCTTCCTTTTCTGTTTGCTTTTTAAAACAAGATATTTTTTGAGATGCTTACAGCTGTAAACAAACAGCTTAAAAACTGGTACTATGTCATAATTGAGGATTTTAGGGGCAAAGGGACTACCTAAGACAATTTATTACTTCCATGTTAATTCCTCTGAAAATTACAGTCTATATCTGTAATTGAGCATATATACAGTATTCTGAGATGACCAAATGTTTCCTAAGTGCTTTTTTTACATGTATTAGATGGTGTTCAAGAAGTGGCTTATATTCATTCAAACCAGAATGTGGTTGGATCAAGCAAGGCTGAGAATCATATGAGTCGGTGGGCTGTGCGAGATGTGTTTGAATTGAAGCAATTTTCCCAGCTCCCTGCTAATGTACCAGTCTACAGTGCCAAGGTAAAGAGGCAGCTTTAAAAATGTTGTTTTTACTGTGTTTTTCTCTTCTTAACTTTTTTCTTTTAATGGCTACCGTGAATGATCAATCCACTGATGCCAGAGAAGGAGTGGTTTCAAATGGAGGCCCAATGTATTACTGCTGGTATTTCTATGCTGGCAAGCCATAAAGGATTTAGGTATTGGAATACAAGAGCAGTTCTAACATCCAGGTAATGTCTAGTGAGAAGTATGAAAAACATAAATATAATCAAGCTGTTTCGTGTAACTTTTGGAATAATAATAAGCCAGAAGTATGAAATCAGGTACAACTTCAAGTTTTTGTTCTTAGCTATTGCTTGTTATACATAAATCTCTAGGGACATTCTGATTTTCATGTGGCTTTCAGACATCAAATGTGAGAGTGTTTGTGTGTTGGTTTGTTTAACTGCTTTTATACAGATCCATGTTTTGATTCAGATTTAGATGGACAATGGCCATCTAATTGTAAAGTGAACTGAGCACTCTCTACTCAATTGTTCCATGCTTCAAACATTTGTAACTTATTTAAGCTGATCTTTTTGATAAAACACAAATGTTTGGAACCTGGAAAAATGGTTGATTGGCAGATGTTTCGATTGGTCTTCACAGATGCATTAACTAAGGGAACTGGTATGCCAGGTGAAAACTCTTACTCAGACATAAGCACACAATGTCATTCCCACAATACTGTAGTTCCTTACTGCTTCTGGTGTTTGTTGATTTACTGTAATTAATTGAACCAAAATATGCAAAAGCAATTTTTCATTGGAAAGTTCAGACCAGGCAAACTAGCAAAAAGTGATACCTTTTCAATATCCAAATACAAATACTTTCCATCCCCTCTTAAATAGAACATTGGGTCAAAAGTATTTGCGAATTCTACAGATATATCCCAGCCTACCCATGGCTGACAGCGTAAGTGGAATGCAGTACAAGTGAAAGGAAAGTTTGAGGAAAGTACTGTGGCGTAATGTCTTAAAACGCAGGCTGTGAGTTCAGTTTTATTATTCATATGATTTATTTCTTTTTACAGCTGAAGTAGCATGGAATTTGCATGCCCACAGGTGTTACAAATTAATTGGTATCTCTGCTTGTTAATCCATGTGATTTTAAGTTATCACTTTCTGAAAACAAAGGAACAGTAATATTGGTTCACTTGAAGAGATTGAAATAGGAAGCACAACTATCAGTAATAGTGGAAAAAGTTGTATATAGATTTTATTTCCAGGTGTTAGTCTGACATACATGCATTAAGCTAGCAATAATCCCCTTAGATGGCTGTTTCTCCTCAGATGTAGGACTCTGAGTTTCATGTGTTTGCTTAAAGACCTGATGTCCTATAGAATTTTTTCTGAAAAAATGATCCATTTAGACAAACTGCTGCTGCTCATTTCTCTGTGTTTTTCTTTTCCCATTTCTTTATTTTTATTACAAATCATATTATATGAAAACACTCATTGTTACTCTGGTGCTCATCTGTTTCTGCTGGATATTTTATTAATTTGCAGTCAGTTTTGCACATGGCGGCAGTCCCTGTCACAATTATTTGTTGTGGCATCATGAAGAGAATTATGGAAAAATGAAGAAAAGCAACATTCAGATACCCCTGAGAGATTTTTAAAAAGCTACTGTTTCATACTATAAAATAAGGTCAAAACAATATTTTGAAGATCTGAAGTCATTGTGTGGAGTTTAATGTATAAACCTACTAAAAATTTCCGGGACACTAATTTAATTCTAAAAGTTCTTAAAGAATAGACAGTAAGGCTTGATGTTCTCCTTGGATGTTATTCTTCATGGTTTTAATCAGGCTTTTTTCTTTGGATTTTATTCTTCATGGTTTTAATCAGGTTTTTTTTAAATAGGGACTCTGATTGTAATTA